ATTCTATTTCTTTCTTTCTTTCTTTCTTTTCTTTCTTTTCTTTCTTCTTTCTTTCTTTTTTGTTTTTTGAGACCGAGTTTCGCTATTACTCACACTGGAGTGCAATGGCGTGATCTCGACTCACCGCAACCTCCGCCTCCTGGGTTCAGGCAATTCTCCTGCCTCAGCCTCCTGAGTAGCTGGGATTACAGGCACGTGCCACCATGCCCAGCTAATGTTTTGTATTTTTAGTAGAGACGGGGTTTCACCATGTTGACCAGGATGGTCTCGATCTCTTGACCTTGTGATCCACCCGCCTCGGCCTCCCAAAGTGCTGGGATTACAGGCCTGAGCCACCGCGCCCGGCCTCTTTCTTTCTTTATTATTATTATTTTTTAAATAAAGATGGGGTTTCACCATGATGGCCAGGCTGGTCTTGAACTCCTGACCTCAGGTGATCCACCCACCTCGGCCTCCCCAAGTGCTAGGATTACAGGCGTGAGCCACTGCGCCCAGCACAGAGTATATTCTATTTATTTATCTGTGTATTGGGCACAGACACATGAGTGTGTTCAGTTTATGAAAATTTATCTGGCTGGGCGCAGAGGGTCATGTCTGTAATCCTAGCACTTTAGGAGGCTGAGGGGGGCAAATTGCTTTGTACTCAGGAGTTTGAGACCAGCTTGGGCAATGTGAAACCATGTTTCTACAAAAAATTAAAAAATGAGCCAGGCCTGGTGTCGTGTACCTGTAGTCCCTGCTATTTGGGAGGTTGAGGCCAGAGGATGGCTTGAGCCAAGAAGTGGAGGTTACAGTGAGCCGGGATTGTGCCATTGCACTCTATCCTGGGCAACAAAGTGAGACCCTGTCTCAAGAAAAAATAAAATTAGAAAAAATTCATCAAGCAGTACACTTATATTTAAACTTTTTCTGTATATTACACTCCAATAAAAAGAAAGGCTGGGCTCAGTGGTTCACGCCCGTAATCCCAGCACTTTGGGAGACTGAGGCAGGTGAATCACCTAAGTCAGGAGTTCAAGACCAGCCTGGCCAACATGGTGAAACAATGTCCCTACAAAAATAGAAAAATTAGCCAGGCATGATGGCTGGTGCCTGTAATCCCAGCTACTCAGGAAGCTGAGGTGGGAGAATCTCTTGAACCAGGTAGGTGGAGGTTGCAGTGAGCCAAGATCGCTCCATTGCACTCCAGCCTGAGCGACAGAGCCAGACTCCATCTCAAAAAACAAAAAAAGAAAAGAAAATGTACAAAAGACCATATAGGGAAAAGTCTCCCTTTCATTTCTGTTCCCCAGACTCTCAGTTTTTCTCTTGGGAGACAATGTTACCTTTCTTGTGTATTGTTCCAAAGCTTTTCTTTGTTTTTTTTTTTTTTTTTTTTGAGACGGAGTTTCACTCTTGTTACCCAGGCTGGAGTGCAATGGTGCGATCTCCGCTCACCACAACCTCTGCCTCCTGGGTTCAGGCAATTCTCCTGCCTCAGCCTCCTGAGTAGCTGGGATTACAGGCACGTGCCACCATGTCCAGCTAATTTTTTTGTATTTTTAGTAGAGGCAGGGTTTCACCATGTTGACCAGGATGGTCTCGATCTCTTGACCTCGTGATCCACCCGCCTCGGCCTCCCAAAGTGCTGGGATTACAGGCTTGAGCCACCGCGCCCGGCCCCAAAGCTTTTCTTTTTTCCTTTTTTTTTTTGTTTTTGAGGCACAGTCTTGCTCTGTCACCCAAGCTGGAGTGCAGTGGTGCAATCTTGGTTCACTGCAACCTTCGCCTCTCGGGTTCAAGAGATTTTCATGCTTCAGTCTATGAAGGTATATGCCACCACACCTGGCTAATTTTTGTATTTTTTTGAGACAAAGTCTCGCTCTGTCGCCCAGGCTGGAGTGCAATGGCGTGATCTCAGCTCACTGCAACCTCTACCTCCTGGGTTCAAGTGATTCTCTTGCCTCAGTTTCCTGAGTAGCTGGGCTTACAGGCACGCACCACCATGCCCAGTTAATTTTTAAATTTTTGATAGAGATGGGGTTTCACCATGTTGGTCAGGCTGGTCTTGAACTCCTGACGTTGTGATCTGCCCACCTCCGAAAGTGCTGGGATTACAGGATGAGCCACCACGTCCAGCCAATGTTTGTATTTTTTTTTTTTCAGCCATGCATGAGCATTGTATTTTTTTTTTTTTTTTTTTTGAGACGGAGTTTCGCTCTTGTTACCCAGGCTGGAGTGCAATGGCGCGATCTCGGCTCACCGCAACCTCCGCCTCCTGGGTTCAGGCAATTCTCCTGCCTCAGCCTCCAGAGTAGCTGGGATTACAGGCACGCGCCACCATGCTCAGCTAATTTTTTGCACCATTAGTAGAGACGGGGTTTCACCATGTTGACCAGGATGGTCTCGATCTCTTGACCTCGTGATCCACCCGCCTCAGCCTCCCAAAGTGCTGGGATTACAGGCTTGAGCCACTGCGCCCGGCCAGAGCATTGTATTTTTAATAGAGCCTGGTTTTCACCGTCTTGGCCAGGCTGGTCTTTAATTCCTGGCAAGTGATCAGCCCACCTCGGCTTCCGAAAGTGCTGGGATTACAGGTCTGAACCACTGCAACCGGCCAAGCTTTTTGGTGTATAAATTTGCATAGTTAAAAAAACTTGCATAGTTAAGGCTGGGCCAGGTGGCTCACGCCTGTAAGCGTAGCACTCTGGGAGGTTGAGGCAGGCAGATCACCTGAGGTCATAAGTTCAAGACCAGCCTGGCCAACTTTAGTAGAGTGAAACCCATCTCTACTAAAAATACGAGAATTAGCCAGGCATGGTGGCACACACCTGTAGTCCTAGCTACTGGGAAGGCTGAGGCATGAGAATCACTTGAACCCGGGAGGTGGAGTTTGCAGTGAGTCAAGATCATGCCACTGCATTCCAGCCTGGGAGACAGAGCAAGACTTCATCTCAAAAAACAAAAACAAACAGTCTTCCAGAGGAGTGTGTGGTTGCACTACTGAAACTAACTCCTGTAAGGAGTGATGAAGTCAACCTCCAGTCAGCTGTATTGATGCAAAGGAGAAAATATCCTAGCTGAGATAAAGATTCAAACACCAGGGATATCTTTGATTCTCACCAAGGGCAGCCGGAAGTTCCTATTGCATTAATGCAGAAATCAGGTGAGGTCAGGGATTGCTTTTAAAATCCTAGAAGGCTGGACACAGTGGCTTGAACCTGTAATCCCAGCACTTTGGGAGGCTGATGCAGGAAGTTCACTTGAGCCTAATGGGGTCACCTTGCCTGCTGCCTGCACAGCCTGCACATCAAGACAGGGGAATTGCAATGGCAAAAGAGTAATTCATGTAGAGTCGGTTGTGCAGGAGACTGGAGTTTTATTATTACTGAAATCAGTCTCCCTGGTGCATTCGGGAGTCAGAGTTTTTAAAGATAATTTGGTGGGTAGGGGCTTAGGGAGTGGGGAGTGCTGATTCATCAGGTTGGAGGTGGAATCATAGGGAGTTGAAATGAGTTTTTCTTGCTGTCTTCTGTTCGTGGGTGGAATGGCAGACCTGTTTGCCCAGATTACCAGTCTGGGTGGTGTCAGCTGATCCATAGAGTGCAGGGTCTGCAAAATATCTCAAGCACTGATCTTAGGTTTTACAATATTCTCAGGAATTTTGTAAATATTCTCAGGAATATTCTAACAGTGATGTTATTCTCAGGAGAAATTTGGGGACATTTAGACTCTTGGAGCCCGAGGCTGCATGACTCCTAAATTGTAATTTCCAATTTTGTAGCTAATTTGTTCGTTCTGCAAAGGCGGAATGGACCGCAGGCAAGATGGAAGTCTTTTAGGGAAAGGGTTGTTATCAATTTTGTTTCAGAGTCAAACCATTAACTGAATTCTTTCCTAAAGTTCTGCCTAAGCCAAGGAATGAACAAGGACAGCTTAAGGATTAGAAGGAAGATAGAGTTGGTTAGGACTGATTTCTTTCATGGTCGTAATTTCCTCAGTTATAATTTTTCAAAGGCTGTTTCACCAGGAGTTTGAGACCAGCCTGGGCAACATAGCAAAACCCCTATCTCTACAAATAATAATAATAATAAAAAAAATTAGCCAGGCTCAATGTCGTGCACCTGCAGTCCCACTTAGGAGGCTGAGGCAGGAGGATCACCTGAGCCCAGGACTTTGAGGCTGCAGTGAGCTGTGATTACGCCGCTGCATCCCAGCCTGGGCAACAAAGTGAGACCCTGCCTTACAAAAAAAAGAAAAAGAAAAGAAAAGGAGCGTCACAACTCACAGCACCGTCCTGTTGTCTGAAGTCCCCGCCCATGGGTCTCAGGACTGGCTCCAGGGCTTCAGCCTTGGAATTAGTTGTGGACTTCTTTGGGTCCCTTTGGAATATTTATCTTTGGCTTGGAATAATGCCACATACCAAATCCAGCCTTGCCTTCCCTATGTACCTTTTCGTCCCCAGATGACTCCCCGATCCTGAACCCTTTGCTGCACTTGCCCTAGTGAAAATCAAAGGTCTGCAAAGGCTGCGTCATTCCTGAGTGAGGTACGGAGTCGGATGTCGTTTCTGTGGGGAATTAAAATTAGCTACACTGGAAATGAATGACAGGATGCAGCGAGCAAGGAGGGAGCGTGAGCGAGGAGGATGAGATTCCTTCCACCTGACATCCTGCCCTGGCACGCAGCCTTTCCAGGGTCTTTGAGGCTGCACGCGACAAACAGATGAGGACTGTGGGTTTCTCACGCGTAGGTGGCAGCGCAAGCTCACCCCAGCAGTGGTGCCAGTCCGCAGGCAATTTGCAAACGAATGTGTTCTCCTCCTCTCCGAGGATCTGAGCCTCACGAAACACGCTCTTCCTTCTGGTCCCTCCCGCAGTCGAGTCGCCTTCCGTCCAGCCCGGGTCCCCTCCCCCGCCCGGCCCCGCTCCCCGGCCCGGCCCCGCTCCCCCGCCCGGGCTCCTCTCTGTCTCCCCCTCCCGGACGGCGTCCGAGCTCGGCCGGGCCCCACTCGCCGCCTGCTTGTGAATGAGACGCTCAGTTTCTCAATGGAGCCGCGGGGGGCTCGGGCGGCCGCAGGGCGGCCGCAGCGTTGGCCTTGAGCCCGGAGGGGCGCGCGTTTCTCTCGCTCCCTCCCCGCTCCCTCCCTCTGGCTGCGGCCGCCCGCGAGTCGCAGGGCCAGCGCCCGCGAGGACGGCCCGGCTGGGCGGCCCCGAGCGCCGCGGCGCCGTGGAGGAGCGGGAGCGCGGCCGCGGAAGCCGGACGCCGACGGGGCCGGCGGCCTTCGGGAAGCTTCCGCCGACCCTTCGCTCCCGGCTCTCAAGGTTCCTGATTTCCGAGTTCCTTTTAGATCCCGGGCGGCGGTTAGCGCTTCGCCTGCACTTTTTCTCCCCGCGGAGATAGGGAGGCGCGTGAGGAGAGGAGCGAGTAGCATAAAGAAGGATTTCCTCCCGGAAGACAGAGGCGATTCGGGGAGGTTTTTCTCAGGGGAGCTGAAGCGGCGTCTGCGGCCGCCGCGGGCGCCGGGCCCCACCGGCCGCACCATGCGCGAGCCGGCCCCGGGCTGCTGAGGCGCGCGGACGCGGAAGCGGAGGTCGAGCGCGCCGGGCTCCCGCGCTCACGAGCGAGTCCCGTCCGCCGGGCGGCGGCGGCAGTGGCGGCGGCGGCGGCGGGGGAATGGAGCCCGCGACCGCGCCCCGGTCCGACATGGCGCCGGAGCTGACCCCGGAGGAGGAGCAGGTAAGCCGGCCCGAGGCCGCCGCGGTGGGTGTGTCCGGGCCCCCGAGGCCTCCGCCGGCCTCCGCCTCCCCAGCCCCGGCCCCGCGCAGTCCCCGGGCCCGCCGCGCCCCCGCTCCTGTGCCCGGCCCGCGGGCCTCCCCCACCGGCGACCGCGCCCCAGGCCGCCGCCCCCTGGTCCGGGGACCCGCGGGACCCTGCTCCCGCCCCCGCCGCTTCTGCCCCCGAGTCCCCTCCGCACCCCACCCCCCATCCAGGGGCAAAGTTCCTTGGATCCAGGGGCCGCCTTCCGGGGTTGGCAGAACCGCTGCCTGCGCCCGGCCCTTCCAGCCCCTCGTCAGTGTTTTCCGTGAGGGTTTGTGGCTTTTGAAGGGCAGGAGAAGCCCCATTTTGGGGGGTGCTTCCTGTGGGGACGATCTCCCTTCTCGCGGAGGGGCGGAGAGGACGGGATGCAGAGATGCCCTCGTGTTTCAGAGGCGCCTCTTCGGCTTCTCGGGCCCACTTGGCAGGTTCTGGAAGATCCAGCCCTTCTCGTGCCGCTCGAGTCCCTGGCCTTGACCTCCCTATGCCGCCATCGCAGGCGGGGCGCAGCGCCTCGCCCCCCTTCGCCACCCTCGTCTCATCTGACTGTCTCCATCTTTCCGAAGCTCACACGGAGCCCTATTGTTCCTTAAAAGCCTGTGACCTTTCGTTCTCAGAAGATAGTGGTTTGCGGTTTCATTTTGGGGGCCTTGTGACTTTCCCTCCCGCACATGCCAGCTGCGGAGACGGGGACCACTCCTGAGGAAGATGGGAAGGTCTGCTGGCTTAGCCTGGGTCCCTACGGGCTTTCTCTGCCTCTTCCTTGGCACTGCCCATACCCCGCCATAGCTATGCTCGAATATAGCCATAGTCTGATTCCATGTTATAAATAAAAAAAATTAAAATAAACGTGAAAAAAGAAAAAAGCGAGCCATGCTGGCAACCCATTTCAAGCTCTACAGACCTTGTTTCCGAGGCCCACATCCGCTAGCACAGCCTCCAGTGCAAAGACAATCTAGTTTAACAAACTATTATTGGCTAATGGGCTTGTTGACCTGATTTTTAAAAGTCCTTCTCTTTTCTCCTCATTTGTGGGGATGACATTTTTAATATTTGGCCTCGGGCCACGGCTTCGCGTTTCGACACCTAATAAAATTAGTATAGACAAAAAAATTTTTAAAGAATTCTCCTTTGTACAAGCAGGGGCAATGAATGTCCTGGTAACTGCAGTTAATAAAATGCTAGTCAGACCCCAGTGCAAGCAGGTGGCCAAGGAACCCATCCTGCCAGAATTGGGAAGTACTTCAGTAGTAAGATAGGACGTGTTGGCTGATTTTAAAGGGACAAATCTTTTTCTTTCATCCTTTTTCTTGGGTCAGTCAGATTTCTGTTTCTAAGACTTAAAGCCATCAGTATTCTATGCAAATGGCATCCGGTTGCAAATTTGAAAACTTTAGTTTTCAAATGTCAATACTATGTCAATACTATCAATACTTTAATATTTACAAGGAAAGGTAAATATTAAAGTATTGATAGTACTGACATAGTGTTGGCTTTACTCTGTATATAGTGCGTACACATATATACAGGTATGTTGTTTAGTAAAAACCTTTTCTTTTACACTCAAGCGAATGTGATGGGCATGAACAAGGACTAGGATGGAAACAGCACAAGATTTATTAAAGCCAAGAGATTATGTGTGTGTGTTTTTTAAAATCTTATCTCTTTGTTTCTACAAAATACTATTTTACAAGCATTTCTGAATGTTGAAACATAAACAAAAGCAGCATAGTTCTAATTATGGTAATGCCTGCCTGGTGTTAACGTATTTTAGTTCAATATCACATGAGTACTCCTTTTTTTTTTTTTTTTTTTTTTTAAGACGGAGTCTCGCTCTGTCATCCAGGCTGGAGTGCAGTGGCGTGATCTCGGCCCTCTGCCTCCCGGGTTCAAGTGATTCTCTTGTCTCAGCCCCCTGCGTAGCTGGGATTACAGGCACGTGTCACCACGCCTAGCTAATTTTTGTATTTTTAGTAGAGATGGGATTTCACCATGTTGGTCAGGCTGGTTTGGAGATCCTGACCTCGTGATCTACCCACTTTCGCCTCCCAAAGTGTTGGGATTACAGGCGTTAGCCACTGTGCCTGGCCAAGAGTATCTTTTTTTTTTTTTTGAGATGCAGTTTTTGCTCTGTTGCCCAGGCTGGAGTGCAGTGGTGCGATCTCAGCTCACTGCAACTTCTGCCTCGTGGGTTCAAGTGATTCTCCTGCCTCAGCCTCTCGAGTAGCTGGGATTATAGATGCTCGTCACCATACCCCGCTAATTTTATTTATTTATTTATTTTTGAGCCGGAGTTTCGCTCTTGTTACCCAGGCTGGAGTGCAATGGCGCAATCTCGGCTCACCGCCATCTCCGCCTCCTGGGTTCAAGCAATTCTCCTGCCTCAGTCCCCCGAATAGCTGGGATTACAGGCCCGCGCCACCATGCCCAGCTAATTTTTTGTATTTTTAGTAGAGACGGGGTTTCACCATGTTGACCAGGATGGTCTCGATCTCTTGACCTTGTGATCCACCCGCCTCGGCCTCCCAAAGTGCTGGGATTACAGGCTTGAGCCACCGCGCCCGGCCTAATTTTTTTTATTTTTAGTAGAGCCAAGATTTCATCTCATTGAATTCGGCCAGGCTGGCCTCAAACTCTTGACCTCAGATGGTCCACCCACCTTGGCTTCCTATAAAGTGCTGGGATCATGGGCGTGAGCCACTGCACCTGGCCAAGAGTGCTCTTAAAAGAGTTTTTCAAAAATGTTTAAACAGCAGCAAGTAAGTGTTAGCCTTATCAAAGTAGTCCTCATGGGAAATGACACATGCATTCCATAATGCTGCCCTATTGGGCAAACCAATTTTAACATTCATTTGGTGTTGATTTCAAAGCTTGTGGCAGACTCTTTGAAATTTCTTCAGGATGGGAAAATCCTTGTACTTTTGAGAGTCAGTCTGATTTCTGTAAATAGCAAAAAATCTTTTAGAGCCTTATTTAAAGTAGGGGATCAAACTGGGTTTACACATTTTTGTGCATAGATGTACTGGCCTTATAGTCCTGCGTTCTTGCCATTTTTCTTCTTGCTTACAGGATCTTTGCAGAAGCTGCTTTCCTTCATCTGGAAACGCCTCCCTTTGTTAACTCCCTCTTCATCCTTCAGCTCTCAGGTTTCCTTGATGTCAGTTAGATTCTAACGTAATAGGTTCTCAGAGCACCATTTACTTGTCCTGCACATCACTTATCACAGGTTAACACTTGTGTGATTACAGGACTGCAAGCAAGCTCTGTGTGGGCTGGGACTATTTTTGCTTTTGCTCCCCATCATATGTACCTTTCCTACCATAATGACTGACATAATGACTGGCACTTAAGGAATGCAGAATGAATGAAGAGTAGCTGTACTGATTTGTATACAGGCAGCATCATCTTCTTCAGAGTGGCTTATGAAAATAAGGACATTGCACAGTTTGATTTTTTCCCCTTCAAATGGCAATATATACTTTGATTTATATGCTGTACATGTGTTGATACAGTGTTTGAAAGTTATGACTACTTCTTAGTCTCATTTTCTGTCTAGGCATGTGTTGAACTGATACAAATCCTCATTTGTAACTTTGATGTTTCTTGTTTTTTTCAGCTCCTCAATAATTATAAAGCCTACAATTGGGCTACAAGGACATATATGATGTTCTTGCCTTTAAGAAGCTTATATGAGTAACAGTCATAACAGTATCTTGTCTTAACTCCTGTTTTGAGTCAGGCTCTGTGGTGGGCATTTCACATGAAATTAATCCTCCCTCCCAAAATTGGAATTACTACCCTCACTTTGCAAAAGGGAAGGAAATTGCCCAAGGTCGTAGTTAGCCAGGGATGGCGCCATGATTCCCACCCAGGTCTAGGTTTTCTGCCCTCACTGCCAGTGTTTCCTCTGTTACGCTACGTTACTTGCCAAGAAGCCATTAGCCAATTTACTTGGATGCCTAAGTGGGTATAAAACAGCTAATATTTTGTGGGTTTTGGTATTGATATATGTGTTTGGTTTTGGTAATGCTTCTTAAAATATAGTTTGAAAAGTACAGACAAAGGAAAAGATTTAGAAAACCTTTACTCACCTATATATTGCCAGCAGAAAGATATTGTATACTCTGTGCAAGAAATTATGATGAAATTACTCTTAGAAAAAAAATTTGTTCCTTAAAACAGAGTTGGAAACTCTCCATTTCAAGGTGTGGTAACATTTTTAAAAATTTTCATTTTCTTTATATCTTCTTTTTCTCTTGCACAAGAAGGCTAACTATTCTTAGAGCCAAATATGAAGAATATTATGTCTCCAAACTGTAAAAACTAAGATGTTTAAAGCCGAGTGCGGTGGCTCACGCCTGTAATCCCAGCACTTTGGGAGGCCGAGGCGGGTGGATCACGAGGTCAGGAGATCGAGACCATCCTGGTCAACATGGTGAAACCCTGTCTCTACTAAAAATACAAAAAAAATTAGCTGGGCATGGTGGCGCGTGCCTGTAATCCCAGCTACTCAGGAGGCTGAGGCAGGAGAATTGCCTGAACCCAGGAGGCGGAGGTTGTGGTGAGCCGAGACCGCGCCATTGCACTCCAGCCTGGGTAACAAGAGTGAAACTCCGTCTCAAAAAAAAAAAAAAAAAAAAAAAAAGTTGTTGCAGGAGATGTTAAGAAAAAAAAAAAAAAAAGATGTTTTTTGTGTCACTAATATGTTCCCTTTTTCCCTTTTTGATATATTTATATACAAATGCAAAAGCCTTTCTTTCTTTTTTTTTTTTTTGGAGATAGAGTTTTTGCTCTGTCACCCAGACTGGAACGAAGTCTCAGTTCACTGCAACCTCCACTTTCCAGATTCTCCTGCCTCAGCCTCCCGAGTAGCTGGGACTACAGGCGTGCACCATCACACCCAGCTAATTTTTGTATTTTCT